GAATACACCGGTGTGTCTGGGCACCTGCCGTCAGCGTCGTCAGGAGATGACATTTCTGTGGGTATCTGTTGAGCTGGTTTTAGCCTGACTGCTGTCTGTACTCAAAGCTGTGGTTTGGGAGAGGCTGGGGGGGGTTTTTTTTTGTATTTTCAGGAACTTTTAAAGTGTTTCTGTTTTGCAGATAGAAAGCTTAGACAAGAGTCTAGAAGATTTGCTGACCAGAGTGGATGAGTTTGTGGGAATGCTGGACATGGTATGTGTAACTTGGTTATAGTTATGTGCCGGAGTCAGGGTACAGTTTAACGTGTGCTTGTGGTTTCACGTGAGACAGAGATAGGAAGCAGCCTTTGGTCTAGGCAGGTTCCGTATGAAAACACATTTAGTAATGAGATAACTCATGTTGATAATTAGATAAGTTGTGGATGAAGACTACCAGATTTTCATGTTGGAGCAAAAAAATATGCCCATATAGCTATATAACTGCATATTTACATAATTGTATTTGTATATCTGTCCGTGTACATACACAGAATCCCATTTTGAATGCCACAATAACGAGTGTTTAAAAGAACAAAGCAATATTCTGCTTATAAATACGTAAAGACATTGTCTATGGTTTTTGTAGTCAAAGTTGCTAACTGGAGTCACTGCACCGCCAAAGCTAGATTTGTCTTTAGGGGACCGTTTCTTACTCTTTCATCAGAAAGGCAGCCCTGTTTTCACTTTTGCATGGAGGGGAGGCGGCGGAACTGAACAGAAAGTTACTGTAAGCTGACACTGGCGTACGGGCTGTCTTTTAAAGCATAGCACATGTGGTTCTGCTGGACTATTCTAAGGGAAACTTTGCTATAATTTTTTTTTATACCAATAAAACAGGATTTTGTGTCCTGACTTCTTTAGCAAAGCTGAGGAAATGTACCAGTAGTGAAATTTAAATCAAAATTTTAATTTAACATTTTCTTTCATATGTCTTGGGAAATGTTCCATCTCTTAGTTCTGTTAAGGCTGTAGGAGCCTATTTTTAATATAATTATAAAGGTAAATATTTGCCTATGCAAAATAAATTTTCTTCAAGGGAACTTACTAAACTATCTAAAGAAGCTAGCTTATTAGCTTTACTAGAGTATTTTTATACTAATCTGATATTTTTAAACTATGAGTTTTAATCTGTTAATTGGAGCACAGTTCTAATTTCCAGAATGAAATCTACAAAATATTTTGTTCATCGATTTTTGTATTATTTCTTTGAATCATCTTTAGATTCGAAATGATTCCTCTCAAGTTGTCAATGAAAGTATACCTCAAATTTACACAAAAGCTACAGAAATGAGACAGATATATAGGAAGATTGACAAACTAGAGGTATGTATTTGGTATCTTTTAGTAGATTTACTGTTTCTTAACAAGGAGGAAGAATCAACGATATGCTATAATTGTGTGTGTGTTTGTGCGTGCATGCACATGGAGTGGGCTCAGATCCATTTTGCTCTCCGTGTTTAATCTGGGTACAGTACTGCAGGGTCAATAAAAAGAACACAATTTATTAAGAATTTCTGGAGACTGCAGGCATTCTAAAACAAAATGCCTTTTATTAATTTTTTTTTAATTTACTGCTTGAAGCAAGGCAGACATATTTTCTTGGAAAGCAATAGTACCCCTTTTTCTCTTTTTTTTTTTAATAATATCTGTCAAAGTCATTGTCTTGGGAGCTGTTCAGAGACTAATAGAATGAGAGGTCTGTTCATCTGAGGTCCGTTGTTGTAAAGCTTCAAAACTCGTTCAGACCCTTGGTCCCACTTCTAGTAGGCACACAGAAGTCTAAATACTGAGAGGTCTAGATTAGTTATTTGAAAGGCAAATAAGAAAAGGAAGATTGATTGCTTTATTGTGTTTAACCTGCTTTTGCAGCCTTTTAAGTATCTCACGTAATTTTTAGCAATAAAAAGGACTTGTAGGTGGAAGGGAAATAAAACATGGGTTTTGACTCCTTCTCCTTTAAGTAATGGAGCTTTCACCACTGTCATGCAATACATAATCCTGTTTTAATTTGTTAGTGAAGAAGTTGGATTTTTTTCACACTAGGCTTTTGTGAAGATGGTTGGAAATAGCGTATCTGGACTAGAAGAACGGGTCATAAAGGCAGAAACAGACCTTGGAGCTTTTCCAAGCACGTTCAAGAAAATATTGCACACAATCAGCATACCATCCTTCCTTAATGTAAGTAAGCTTTTGTTATCGTGTGAGCAGCTTAGTTGCTCTGCTTACCAGAGTAGATGATTAAAATAATTGTTTGTTACACATATATCTGAATTTAAATGTTAAACTTATATACTGTATTGGGATTTTTGCAAAGTTATTGGACCAAACCCCAAACTCAAAGATTACAAATTCTTACCAGGATTTGTCTGAGTGAGTGAAGAAGGGAACACAACAGGCATAAACAAGCACATAATGAACAAGCCTTTATTAAAGCATCTGGGATCTCTGATGGTATGCAAAGCAAGTAGGAAAAGCCTGTACAGACAACGCTCTTAAAGGACCATACTGCATTAATATTATCACTGCAGAAATGTTCCCAAAAAGAAAAATAAAAGCTACACTGCACAGTATTTTTAAAAGAAAGGTTTTATTTATATCCAGTCCCTCAGCTCTGTAATTATGTAAGCACTTTGTTAAACTTCCTAAGGATGCAGTTTTCTCTGCCTTTCCTCATTAACTGCTGGACTCTTTCTCTATAGAAGACCTGAAGTGCTCTCTCTAGTATGTTTCAAGATGCCATACCTAGCCTTAAAAACTGGTACTATGTGCTATTTTAAAAATAACTTTCTGTTTAAAAAAAAAAAACTAACTTCTGAACACCTGATGCTTCTTGGCATCACTTGCCAATACACCTTTTTTAAGTACACCTCCTTGCATTTTGTCAGCTCCCAGATTCTTTTCTTTATCTTTTTCTATATTCATCCTGTACTAGCTCAGGTTTCTGTATCAACTGGTGACAATGCTGAAATAAAGTAGTTTTGCAGAGTAGGAAAGGAAGATGGCTATGACTGTTGAAATATTTGTGTTCCTACGTAGTGCAAGCACATGTGGCAGCAGAGAAAAGCAGTTATAAGAAGAATATGTACTGTCTTGGTAAGACTTAGTTCAGGAAACGTGTTCATCACTGCTATTTCCTGTCTAGTCTTTAAGTTAGTTAAGTTCTCATTCTGTCATTTTCTTTCGCGATAAAGTTTAGAGTGATGTTTTTTAAAAGAAAAAAAAAGCAACAGAAAGCTGCTATTTTGGGGCCAATTGCAAAAACAAACAACTGCAGCAATTGTCTTGAAGAATATTCAAAAGTATTTTCCATTTTGTTGCTAAAAACAGTTGTCAACTACAGAATTACAATCTTCACTTGAAAAGTTTGAAAGTTCTAATAAAATGCTTTTTTAGTGTTGTACAGGAACATTTTGCCCACTTAACAGTTTTTCCACAATTAAGGAGGTGGAAAGTCTTTGAAAGTGAGTGGAACCTGGAAGTGAGTGCAAGCTGAACGTGGCATGTCCAGTAGTTTCTTGGTTTTTGGTTACGGATAGCACTAAAATCAACCCTCAGAACTTACAGAATTAATTGATTAACTAACTACAAGGCAGGTCACTGTTCCGCAATGATACTGAGTATTGCATAGTAAAATATCTGTCTTCACTAGTAAACGCAAGCATGTCTGAATGAAAATGCCTACAGAGAATTCTCCTTGTGCCTAACATGTAATGAGCTCACATGATAGTCAAAAGTTGGGAAAAGAAGGCTCTACCAGTGTCACTGTAGCTGTAGTTCGTGTTTTCCTGCTACAATTTTAATTTGGTCAAGTCCTCTCACTCTCTTCCCATGTAAACGTATCTGCTTCTTTACACAAAGGATATATTTTGTATTTCTTAAGCCGTGTATTTGTAATCTCACATTTTGCCCCAAGTTCTTCCCTTGTGAGTACCAGGCAGTGTAAAGTACAGTACTCCAAGACTTCTAATATCACTCAAGGATGTAGACTCTCAAAAGTTAAAAATGCCTGCTAAGGAGCTGCAAAAATAACTATTTATAAATGTGTACTTAGGCGACTGTCAGTACTGTGCCTGCCTGTGAATTTCCTCACTGGATTGAAATTATCCCCTTCTGGCACATACGCGAATATAGTACCTATTAAATTAGTGTCACGAGTTGCAGAATATCTGCCTGTCACCTTGGTTTCCTATGCTTGCAAGGTGTTGTCTCATAAGGCAGTACAGGATAGGAAATAATTTTTAAAAACAGAACTTTGATTTCAAAAGTTGTTTTTACGTTTCGCAAAATTTCTGTTATGGATAACATTGATAATATCCACTATTTATAGATCCAGTCTTTGTTTATATTTTTTTATTTCATTACAACTTGAATGACAAAACAAACTTATTTCAGAGAAATTAATGGCATCGTAAAGTTAAACAGAATTTAAATGTCATAAAACAGCAATTTTGTATATAACAGGAGATTTCATACAGTGTACAAATATACAGCTCAACTGAATATCGGAAAAATTCCACTTATCTGTTTTGTAGGTATGCTTAATTATATCGTCATTTTGGTACTGTAAAAGCATTCCAAATTCCGAGTATACTAATGATATCTGGTATGCTTTTAACTTTATATTGGTGAAGACTCTTAATTTCCTCATCCCAGACAGGCAAAAAAGTACTGAAGAACTCTGCAGACAAACCAGCTCTGCAAAACAGTTCATCAAAATGTTTCATGAGTAGGAAAGAATTTTTAATGAATGAAATCTTGATTCCAAACCTTCTATTTAAGACCACATGTTGAAAACATACACTGGGTCTGTGTTGCAGTGCGGCATTATTTACCTGCAGGAGAGCTGGCACAGTAGTCAGTAGTGGTCCTTGCTGCTGTCTCTTTAATTGAGGCATTTGGTATAGCAAAGCAATGTACAGTTAATATTTAAAAGTAATGTGTACACTTTTCCTGAAAACCAGTGTGACAGCTCTTTTCCAGTCTACTACCATATTATTTTTAAGAGTATGTCATAGTACATGTGTTCTAACGTATACTTGATGACAAAGCTCAGCAAGAGCAGCAACCTTCTCGAAAGAAACATTTTCTAGGTGTGTTTCTGTGTGAAGGCTTTTTTAAAACCAAGTAAATGAGAAGAGAGGCTAGGGTTAACTCAAAGGAAGTGGCTGAGGAGAACACAAAGGGTGGAGCAAGAAAGGTAAAGGTTTATGGCTTCGGAAGGATGAAGGTTACAATGACTATACCATCAGCAGGTTCAGCTGAGACACAGTTAACTTTCTTCAGAACATAGCCTCTTAATAGCTACTATGAATTTGTGCTGAGAAGACTGCTCAGAAGATTACCTCTTTGACTCCTGCAAAGCTGGCGTACCTTGTGCTTTCCAGGGCTGAGACTGTTAAGGTGATAGAATGACAAAAGTCAAAACCTGCTTTTCTTCACTACCGTTAAGAATATGTCAGATCCATTTGAGCTATGATTAAAAATTTGCCTGACTAAGGAGATATGCCTTTAAAACTTCTATTGTTTTGCATTTTAGCTCTGTAGGCTTTCTTTTAAAACTTATTTTTTTAAGAAGGTGAAAAATAAACTTATCTGATTTGCAGAAATCTTCTTCCTCACGACAACAGACCCTCTATGAACCTCCAGTCCTCTTCAAGACTGAAGACTATTTTCCATGTCTTAATGAAGCACCTTATTGACGATTTTTGCTTTGGGATTGATATGAATCATCCAGAATAGAGACAGCCAAGTGAACAAAAGAAATGCTAACCTCAAAATAGCTGCATTTCTGAGCATTATTGATGGCATATTGCCATTCTGATTCTCATTGTCTTCCTTCAGGCACTATTTTCAGGCAATCTTTGTGTACGTTATTTTCAAAAGTCTTCCTAAAATACACTGTAAAAATGTTCAGATTATATTGCAGAAGGAATTTAAGAATACTTCTGCATTTGATTTTTTTTTAAATAAGGAAATAATAGGAAGCATACTTTTATATATAATCTTTTTACACATAAATATCTGTGCTGCTGCAAGTGTAAATAGCTATACCACAAGGATGTATTTTGTTTTGGTTTGTGGGGTTTTATTTTTTCCTAATGTACTGATTGAGGAGGAAGAAGGACTGTGCATAAAATAATTACTCCAAGTTTTGGAACCTGGTCCCTGCAATTTGTACAGGGAAATGCACCACGTTCAGCTGTACAAGTTACAAGGGGAGGACTTGGAAGATCGGCAAGGAGTTAAGGGCATGGCTTGCTGAACGTGATCAAATTCCTGTTCACAAAGCAAACATCCCCCGCACTGATGATCATCAGGTCATGGTGACCTGAGCTTCTCATTATTGCAGCATTGTATTGTTTGATGTGTAACCAGGTGGGTATGATATATGTATAACCTGCTGTCAAAAAGAAAAAATATCCTAGTTGAGGCAGGGATGTCCCTGGACTGAGCCTCAATTGGGCGCCTGACCAGGCTGTCCACTTTTCCCTCACAACGCTGTGTGCGGTTCCTGGGACTCCCCACGCTGATTGCAGTGTGAGTATATTATTAATAAATTAACAACTATCTAACCCTGGTTGTGGTCTTGCATTTCACTTGACAATATCAAACTGCACCATTGTTTCTGAGAACCTTTTTGCCTACAGCCATGTATAACATCTAGCAGATGTTAATCATAAATTGTTGTATTCCTCTGAACGGTAATTTTACTACTTCTGTTTCATTGCTGATGTAACTCACTACAAATATCCAAAATTCAAATTTCAGAGGAATTAAGGAATGCATTAGGGAAACAAGAAAATGCCTACCGGTTTTGTGTTGTAAGCACAGAAAAAGGTATGTAGTTGTAGATTTAGGATTATGTATTAATAGGTAAAGCTTTGAAAAACATGTTTTTGTCTCCCAAGCAGGGACCAGGTTCTAAACAGTGTCTGAAGCAACATTTAGTTGCTTTAGTACAGGTTAACATTTAGGTAAAAAAAAGACTCTGGAATGAAAATGAGTAGGCTCCAAAAGCAGTTCTAATATAAAACTAACCTGAATTTTAAGATAAAGAGTCTAGAAAAATAGTTACATGCAAAAAGGAACAGACATTTGACTTGGAAGAGGGGGCTACCTCTGCCTCTGCTCCTTACTTTCATCAGTGCCTAAATATTTCACTATTTAGAAGTTCCACTGCAGCATTTCTAAAAGGTATGGTACCTTTCAGTTTACGCACAAGTAATCCTTCAATGTGTATCAGTCCTCAGTGAAATCTAATGAAATGACATACCTATAACTTACTGTAACAACATAGGGGCTACAGCCAAATATGCTTAAACATGCTAATACAGAGAGTACAAAAGATTTTAAAAGTAACTTTAACACGGCTTTCTAATAGACTCAACTGCTCAAATAGCAACTTTGTCCTCTGCTGAATGTAGCTATAATGTAGTCATTTTAAACAGATTATATAACTTAAAATATTAAAATAATAGAGAGCTCAACAAGTTTACACAGCTGACTGTTTGTCACACAATATTGTTCGTATTACTAAGAGGAAAAATTCATATGTTCTGAAGTGGGAATTTATGTTAAGCAGTTGTATGGAAAATGTAAATAAATCCTCAAAGCACACCACAAACAAAAATCATGCGATTCCTATAACTAGTACAGCTCTATGTTGTAAAAGCTCCAAAATATTTTTAATGCTGAAAATAATGGACAGCACATGGAAGATATTTTAAGTGCTATAAGAGTGCAGACAATAAATGTGTCTTTTTTTATACACAATACAGAGCAAGATTATCACCGTTGATCTGTGAACCATAGTCTAAAAATGTTTTAAAATTAAGGCATTCTCATAATACTGACATGCACTCTGTTGAATTTGTGCTACTTTGACTGTCATCTTGTTCGTGGTCAGTCTTGCCAAGCAGGAATAGCATAAAAAAACCTCAGGTGTTCACACACAGTAAAGAAAGGCTCATAGAATACTCCTTTATTCCATCTGCTGTTGTTACCTTGTATTAGGGTAAAACCAGAAAGAACTATATTATGAATTAGGGTCAATATTTACTGGTTTTGTGTGCTGAAAATTAAATCTCAAAATCTACTGTTACTGGTATTCATATACACAGAAAGCTGTACTTGTATTTTTCTCTGTATGCTGTTTATCTTTCTCCACTTGCTTGGATTCCAAGATGTGAAGCCAGGAACGACAGCACTACATGACCTGTTTTTAACATGAAGAGCTCTTCAAATAGAACTGATATAAAGCAAGACATTAGCAGCTCAGCTTATTAAGCATAAAGATTGGTTATCAAATGTATAGAACAAACTAATGTTGGATGTAAACTTTTGTTGATATTTAAATCTTACTTTTCTTCTGTGATACAAAGCATTAATTTTACAGTTATCCCAGCAGAGATAATGCTAAAAGTTTTTATATTCCTATAGTTAGGTACATTTAGGCAAGTTTCTTTAGGAAAAGAAACGTATTAAATTTATCTGACCAAATAAAATAATAAATTATGTTTAAACCTTTTAAGACGCACTGGATCAATTGACTTTTTCAAAATCCATACTGGTTCATTACTTCTACTGACAATAACCTTCAAGGTTAACTAGTTTTACCTGCAATACTAAGAAATTAGTAGCACGCTTAATTTGGATTCTGTCCTGAACAGGAACTGTTTCCAGATACTAACCTGAGCTGTAGAGAGTGATCCTGAGTGAAACACCTTCCAGAATTAGAAAGGAAGAAGGTAACTTGCATCTACATCTATTAAGAGAACTTTACATTTGAAAATGGTTAAATATTTTCAGGTTCCCTTACCAAAAAAAAAAAAAAAAAAAAAAAAAAAAAAAAATTGATGACACTTTCAAACTCCCTCAGTTTTCATTGAAATAAAATTCTAGTCTTGGACCAGCTCCCAGCAAATTCCATACGCCCAGACAGAAGCCTTGCCTTGAAAATCCAAAATCCCTGTCAGATGCAGCTATGGTCAAGGAGGATACTCTTTCCATAATGCGGGTTCACTCAATCCTCTCCAGCCACTGCAGCTAAATCCATCAGGAATGAGGAGTCTTCAGCTGTTGGGATTCACAGACTTGTAGGAGTTAGGTTACTGTGGCTGCAACAAGAGTAGAGGCTTTGTCCGCTCTCCCGCTTTTGTTGATTCTACTTTAAACCGATGGGTGGTAGTACAGCATAAAGATGGTAGTACAGACTCCAGCTGATCTCAGAGATTTAGGGAGTTTTCTTTACCTCTTGCTTGAGGTTATCTACTCACAAACTTTTGATGCTGGTAATTTTTATGATTTTGCAAAACAGCATAAGTAATATTCAAATCATGCATGATGGTCAATGTCTTAAAAGTGCCAAGTAACAAACAAAGAAGAAGCAGAAGGTACTGCTCATGGGCAATACTGAGGAATGCTGGTGAGACAATGCAGTCACCTGTAGATACATAGTTGAGACAAGAAAAATTGAAATAATGCCATTTGAAATAATGAATAATCAGACAAAAGTATAAGATGAGAAAACCAAAGTATCCTGTCTAAAGCCTACATGAAAGACCCAAAACATCATTTAATTTTGTCGACTTTAATGCTAGCTGTACATTATTTGATGGACTATTAGTTTAAGTAGTAGAAAAAAATATATTAAAATTACATAAATAGTCATAAAATATTACGTTTTCAGTCAAATGTGCTATCTGTACAGGATCCTAAGTAGTCTTAAAAAAAGTATATTGAAAATACAGGTATATGAATGAGCTGACAGAGTTAAGAAAATGAACTGAATGTTAACAAGGGTTCTGAGTGAAAAGACAAAGGGACAGAATTCATGAGGAAGAAAGAAAAAAAGCACTTGCTAAGGATCAATGAAGAAAGAAAAAAAAAAGTTTCCCCTTTGAGTTATCATTTCCCACTGTTCAGAAACTGTAGGTTTCTTGAGAATAGCTTGATGCCTACATTATTTAAAAATAATTGCCATCTGTTTCTTACAGGTGATGCTGTCAGGATTTTATTTACAAGCAAGTGGTCTAGAAAGTAACATTTAAAAAAGAAAAAAAAAATAACTGAAATTCCCACAATCCTGCAACTGAGAGCTGGCAAAAAGTGTGACAGGAGCATCTGAAATGTTTTTCTGAACATGAGTCAATCTAAAAAATTTGCAGAGAATTGCAGACTGACAGAAAAGTTGGTTCAGATTGATTCATACAAATAAAAGAAAATATAAAAGGAACAGTAAGAGCCTCATGCAGGAATGGAAGAGGCAGAAACTAGCGTAGCCAGGAGATAAGACAGGGCAAATGCTAAGGAGTAAACGTTTGGTGACAGGGCTTTGAGCAGCATGAACAGATGAGGGCAAGGTCCTTGAACTGGGAACTATGAGTGAATATCCACAACAGACTTGACATACACATGCAATTTTGGCATTTGTTCAAGATTTAAGAGATTTTTTTTCTTTTTCACCTCAGGGTGCACTACTTCCATGTCCACAGTTTTGGGAGGGGCTTTAACTGTCCTAGAAGAACAGTGAAAGGACAGTCTGAACCAGGTCACTGTTACTGCCTTTCACAAAAGCACTAGGACTTGCAAGTAGAGTTAGTCAGACCATTGGACTGCTCTAGATAAACATCAGTTCTGCGAAGCTGGACTTATTCTCCAGCCCCAGAATTGATGTCCCAGCCAGGGGCAGGGGGTAGCACCCCTCTACTCTCAGCCATCCCCCTGAGAAGTCAAGCAAAACCTCTTGACAGCAGGGTGCACTTCCCCTGGCAGCCAGGGAAGTGCCTACTATGAAATTAGCATCTGTTTTCTTCATGCTTCTTTCGTTAGCCCTTTACTCCACAGGAATGGCTTTGCAATTTGGTTGGAAACGT